AAAAAAAAAAAAAAAAAGAAAAGCGGTTACTGATGTAAGAGCCAATGGCTTATATAAAATGGGATGTATACTAGAAAGACTATAAAACAAGCCCCAGACAATATGTGTGGACAACTTACTCAACTGTAGTTAACTATCATTTCTATATGTTTAGTGTACACTGTTTTAAACCAGAGAAGCTCATACCATTTAATTCTGGCTGAAGTAGACAGCAAATTTTGGCTGGGAACTTGACTCAACATCAGGAAAATATTACCAGGAAATATGGAGAAATAGTATAATAGTGATCTGGACTACTGAGTTTGGAATCAGCTTTTCTTGGTTTGAATTCCATCTCTGCATTCCAAATACTTGTATAACCACAGGCAAGTTACCTAACCTCTCTGTGCCTCAGCTTCACGGCTTCTAAAATGGAATAAAGGATCCACCTCAAAAGATTTGGGGAGGATTAAATGAATAACAGATATAAAGTACTTAGAACAGTACCTGGCACATAATAATTATTCAAAAATTGCAAGCTATTATTTTACCTAGATCAGTGGTTCTCAAGCAGGGCCAATTTTACTCCCTCCCCCTCCTCCCCCCGGGGAGATCTGTCAATGTCTGGAGACATTTTTGGTTGTCACAACCGGAAGGGCGTTACTGGCATCTAGTGGGTAGAGGCCAGGGATGCTGCTAATATCCTCAACGCACAGGACAGCAACAGTAGCCCACCACGACCAAGAATTATATAGCCCAGCCCAAAATGTCAACAGTGCTGTGGCTGAGAAATCCTGGTCTAGATCATAGTTACACATCCCACGTACAATAAACAGGTATTCAACCCACAGGGAACAATCTGGACATAGAAGCAACATGCTGTATGCACACTTTGTATAGTAATGAGGCTCATTTTAGAAACATATTAAAATAATATGTTTTACTCATTCCTTACACCAAAATTAATTCCAGGGGCAAAGTTTCAACTGTAAAAAATTAAACCATATATATAAAAAACACCATAAACAGAAAAAATTCAACTGACAAACTAGAAAAATATATATCTAATATATATCACAGATAAAAGTCTAGTATTATCCCTAATACATAAAGAATTTGCAAACATTAGGGGGAAAAACACCAAATCCTCAATAAAAAAATGAGCAAAAGACATAAACAGGTAATTCACAAATAAAGATATAAAATTGGGGCCGGCCCGGTGGCTTAGCGGTTAAGTGTGCACACTCCGCTACTGGCGGCCCGGGTTCGGATCCCGGGCGCGCACCAACGCACCACTTCTCCGGCCATGCTGAGGCCGCATCCCACATACAGCAACTAGAAGGATGTGTAACTATGACATACAACTATCTACTGGGGCTTTGGGGGGTTAAAAAAAAAAAAAAAAGGGGGATTGGCAATAGATGTTAGCTCAGAGCCGGTCTTCCAACGCACCACTTCTCCGGCCATGCTGAGGCCGCATCCCACATACAGCAACTAGAAGGATGTGTAACTATGACATACAACTATCTACTGGGGCTTTGGGGGGTTAAAAAAAAAAAAAAAGGAGGATTGGCAATAGATGTTAGCTCAGAGCCGGTCTTCCTCAGCAAAAAGAGGAGGATGAGCATGGATGTTAGCTCAGGGCTGATCTTCCTCACAAAAAAAAAAAAAAGATATGAAATTGGCTCTTAAACATATGAAAAGATGCTCAATCTCAATCAAAAGAGAAATGCATTGTAAAAAACTACACTGAGACCTTATGCTTACCTATTAGATAAGCAAAAATTAAAAGTATAATAATACATTCTGTTGACAAGGCTGTGGGCAAACAGGCTCGATCATTCATTGCTGACTGGAAGGCCAAGTGATATACCATATAACAAATTTGACAACATATAACAAAACTACATCTACGTTTACCTTTTGACCCAGCAAGCTCACTTCTTGGAGTTTATCCTGAAGATGTACTTCCCCAAAAATGAAAATACACACAATACACATGCACAAAGTTACAAGTAATGGATTACAACTCACTGAATAAAAAAGGAACTCTTGAGTCCATACTGATATACATAATTAAACAAGGGAGAAAACAAAGCTCTCCCATATGGTATAATGTCAACTAACAAAAATAGAAAGAATGGTGGATACAAAAAAACACCATCTGGCTACATCACAGAGGTGACGGCTTCAGGCAGAAATCACCAATGAATGCTAAGGGTGGAATTTTGATGAGAAAAAGGATATTGGTGTAATTTTGGAATACACAAAATACTAATCAGTTAAAAAGGGAAAAATGATGAATTTAAGTGGAGATATCTAGCAGATACCAATGTGTCCAGGCGCTCAAAGTTAGCCTCACCAGTGCTGGGATGGGTTGAAGCATCTGTGTGCTTCCTGATGTGACTTACAGAGCACACAGCATCATTTCTGTGGGATTCCTGCCAAGGACGCATAACCTGAGTATACACCTGACAAACCCATGCTGGGATCCATCCTACAGAATGTAAGGTAAGTATTCTTTAAAACTGTCAAAGACATAAAAGACGGAAATGTTTTGGAACTGTTTCACACAGAAGTCTGAAGAAAGAGGACATCACATTACCAGCAACTTGGGAACAGGAGCTATGCCTTAACTGTCTCTACATCCCCAAACCCAGCAGTCTAGTACAGGGCTTTGTAAATAATGGGCGCAGTGACCACGCCCCCATTAAACCCTCCAGGTCCGCACAATGTCATCTAAAAATTTGGTCTTTTCACTGGCAGCAATAGGTAAGTCATGTTCATCGTTCACGGCTAAATCTGGATCTCCTAGCACAGCGGACGCGCCGTAAATTAACTGATCCTGAGAGGCCAGGGTTGCTTTGACAACACGGGCGGAGGCGCCTAACTTTGGCTGGGGGTAGCAATGAAGCCTTCAGCGAGAACAGCCCCTCTGAAGGAAGGGGAGCTCCCGACGGCTAGAATAGGCTGGAGAGGCAGAAACCCTAGGACTGGGTGATGCACACACAGGAGTCAAGAACCAAACGCGGGTTGTTGGAAAGAACGCACGGGTTCCCGGCGCAGGACCTGCCGAGGGCTAGGGAACAGCAGGGTCCCGTCGCGAGGGGACGAAGGGCCACCGCCCCCTCTGGGTCCACTGCTCACCTCGCCCTGTAGCAGCCAGTCGCGGTGGTAGCAAAGGCGACCTTTGTCGGAATTGCGCAACGCCTGCAAGGTCTCCCAACAGCGACCCTCAGACGGCATGGCCACCCCTGCTGTGGCTCTTCAAACGCGCAGCTTTTGACAAAACACGTCCTCGAATCAGCCGCCCGGAAACGAGTGCTCGCTTCCGCTTCCGGGGCGCGCACGCAGCAGCGCAGCGCAACCCCGCCCCTAACGGCTGCGGGGCCCAGCCTCTAGCGCCGAGCCCGACCGTCAGTGCGCCTGCGCACAGGGTGTGGCCTCCTGAGGCTCTGGCGCTCGCAAGGACCGCCAGATAGGGGGTTTCTGGAGCGTCCGGATTGCAGAAAATCCAGTATATGTTGGTGAGGATATGGAGAAAGTGGAAGCCTCATACCTTGCTGGTGGGACTTTAAAATGGTGCAGTTCCTCAAAAGGTTAGAGTTATCATTCCCACAGCGATTCTACTCCTAGGTTTATATCCAAGAGAAATGAGATGTGTCCACACAAGAACTCGTAGAATGTTCATAGCAGCATTACTCAGCCAAAAAGTGGAAACCCAAATGTCCATCAACTGATGAGTAAATAAAATATGGTGTATCCATACAATGGAATATTATTCCGCCATAAAAATGCAGTACAAATACTTGCTATAACACAGATGAACCTTTTTTTTTTTTTTTTTTTTGTGAGGGAAATCAGCCCTGAGCTAACATCCATGCTAATCTTCCCCTTTTTGCTGAGGAAGACCAGCTCTGAGCTAACATCTATTGCCAATCTTCCTCCTTTTTTTCCTTCCCCAAAGCCCCAGTAGATAGTTGTATGTCATAGCCGCACATCCTTCTAATTGCTGTACGTGGGATGTGGCCTCAGCATGGCCGGATAAGCAGTGCGTCAGTGCGCGCCCGGGATCTGAACCCGGGCCGCCAGTAGCGAAGTGCGCACACTTAACCGCTAAGCCACAGGACCGGCCCCAGATGAACCTTGAAAACATTATGCTACATGAAAGAAGCCAGTCACAGTATTGTATGATTTCTTTTATGTGAAATGTCCAGAATGATAAATCCAGAGATAGAGACTTTATTAGTGGTTGACAGGGGCTGGGGGGCGGAGAAAGGGGAGTGGCTGCTACTGGGTATGGGATGAAGAAAATGTTCTAGAATTAGATAATGGTAATGGTTGCACAACTTTGTGAATATACTAAAAAAACACTGAATTACACACTTTCAAAGGGTGAATTTTATGGTACATGAATTATATCTCAGTAATATCTTATTTTTATATCTATATAAAAATAAATCAAAGATTCACCATTGCCTGGAGCCAGCTTTTTGCTAGAACCCTTAACTTGTGACGCTTTTATGCCCATTTCATGGGATCTCAGTTTGAGGTAGGAAGGATTCTCTCTAGAGTTTGAAGCAATATAAACATTTTTTATCTTTTGATTTTTTACAAACTCTGGACTTTTTGTAATAAAATACTTTACAAAGAAAAATAGAACATTGTTGGGAGAGTCCAAGCAATGGGCTCCAATGAAGTGTTTCCCACACCAGCATCATAAATAACAGTGCCCTGCGCTGAGGAGGTTTCCGTTAGTTTGACAAAAATGCGTTATACAGATATGTACATGTATTGGTTAAGTTCACTAACTGTCCTTCCTGGGAAGGTCTTGCATACATTGTGAATTCAAGTCCATTTACATAAAGGATGTGAAAACAGGCTTGGTTTTGTGGCAACGGTAGCTGGTAGTTGTTTTTTCAATGACTTTCCTTGGCAAAATGAAGAGCTGGAAACTACAAATATCCCCAAAATTTGGAGGGGAAGGGGGTTTTCTGCTTGTGAAATCCAGATGCCTGGGCGGGACCTACGGCCTTTGAGGACATAGGGGAATTCTCTGGAGTTTTGGACTGAGGTTAGAGTGGCTGAGAGAGGACAAGACTGGTTCACCCAGATGGCCAATACCAGCTAGAACAGAAAGGTTAGAGTTCCGCACAGTACCAAAATTGTCTTCTTCTCTCTAAATAATTTGTTGTTCTTTCTTTTAAATATAGGAAAATGTGAAGAGAACAAAAATAGCCCATAATCTTATCATTTAGAAACCAGTTAGCATTTTAAAAATAGTAATATATACATATCCCATCTTCCTCCTAAAAATAGTAATATATACATATCCCATCTTCCTCCTAACAGCTAATGTCTGTCCTTAAACACTGAGCAATACTTCACAAAGTGTGTTTCATCCAGTCATCTCGTGGGATTATATAGTGAAAGTGCACAAAAGAGAAAGAAGCAACCTGGGCCAAAATGAAATGAAAAGCCTAATGTTTCTACAATAAGTACTTTAAAAATGTTTACTGGCTCTCCTGCAGCATTTTACTTAATCATTTTTAGAAGAGGGATGGAGGTGGGTAAAGGAAATCATCCAGTGGAGGCTTAAATATTGATTATAAAAGCTTTTTGTAAAACAACACACATATTTCAAGAATAAATGCATTCTATAGTTACAAACGTGGCAAAGGGAAACAAAAATCAACGAGATTGGGATTACACTTGTACAAGGCCAACGGGACAGGAGCCCTTGAGTGTCTACTGTGAAGTGCATGGGGACAAGTGGCCTCAAGGACACTCGGGCATGAGAGGTTTCCACCGGGCTCCAGAAGGGAGCCTTGGGGAAAACACCATTCCCATGAACTAAGGAAAACAGCAAGTAAACATGCTCCCAGCCCAGGAGTGGTGGTGCGGACCTATGCTAACAGCTCCTGCTGGTTCAGGTCAGAGAAAAACAGAGAGAGAGAGTCCTAAAAAGAGAAGGGCTGTAAGGAGACTGGAGGAAAAAGTCCAGTCCAAACATTCTCTCGAGAAAGGAATGAGCAAAGTCACGGTGAGTTAAAATCTGGTACCCTAACAGAAGTAGATTTAAGGCCTGTCAGGGTAATTAAAACTTCCACTAGGCGACTCTGTCAGAGAGGAGAGAACTAAGTAGATCCTGATTCAGCCCCTGCTGCTTTAGGGACTTTTCTGGAGCCAGGAGCTAAGACAAGAGCCTCAACACACTTCATCACTGGAAGAGAGAGGAAAACCAACAGGCTTTGCAGGCATGGCTTTGCAACTCCTCCGTTCCCATGGCATCAATCCGGGCTCCTGAACCAAGACCGGCAGCCTTAGGTAGGAGGAGATCGGGAGCGGATGGGAGAGCTGGTCAGGTAGGTAGTGTAGGGACCATCCCCAAACACGTTGGCATACGACGACTTGAGGAACTGGACATAGTTCTGCATGCTGCGGTTGGTGCTCTCCGACTGCTCCAGGCGGTCCTTCAGGTCCTGTAGCCGGCTCTGGTAGCGCCGGTCAGCCTAGGAGGAGAAACAGCACGGGCCAGGTGTGTGAATGTTCAGAAGAGACAAATCCATGGTGACATACAGACTTCATTAATGGTTGTCAGGGGCTGAGGGAGGGGAATGGGAACGACTGCTAATGGGTAAGGGGTTTCTTTCTGACAATGTTCTAAACTTAGATTGTGCTGATAATTGCACAACTCTGAATATACTAAAAACCACTGAATTGTACAATTTAAATGAGTGAATTTTATGGTATGTAAATTCTATCTTAACAAAGCTGTTAATAAAAAGAGGGATCTGCCTGGGATATCCTGAAGGGATGGAAAAGTCATTAGAGAAAAATAAAACCATGTCATATTCATAAAAACAACAAAACACTTGGCCCTGCAGGCCCCAAGAAGCTAAAATCTCAATCCACTCCCTTCTTGTCTGCCCCCCGCTCCCTACCCCCCTGTCCCCCAGTCCAACTAACATCGTCCCGGCTCCGCCGCAGCTGGTTGAGTTCAGTTTTGGTCCTGCTCAGCTGGGTCTCGAGGTCCAGGATTTTGTTCTGGGCTGCACGCTCCTTGGAGACTGCATGTTCCTTGGTCTGTTCTACCTGCCCAGAGGCACAGAGGTGGGGCTGGCTTACCTGACATGGGGACACCTGGCAAAGAGACAGCTGGGCCACTCCCACTATCTAGTCTCAGACAGCACTTGTGCATGGCTGGGAGAGTTCTCTGGAGTTTCAGGGCAGGAGCTAACTGTGGGGACAACTTCTGCAACCCAGCCTTACCTGCCCTTTCCCAACGCCCCGTGAGCCATCACCTCAGATGTGGTAAACCTGTCTGAGTCCCATGCAGGTGCAATTAAATGAGCAATCATGAATGACATGCCAAGTCCTTTACAAGAATCGCTCATTTGATCCTTATGATGAATTCGTGAGGCAGGTACTACTACCATATGCCCGTTTTTCCGATGGGGAAATAGGCTCAGAGAGGTTAGGTGATTTGCCCAAGGTCACAGAGCTAGTTAGTAATGGAACTGAGACTGACCTGCCGCCGAGCATCTTCAATGGCACTCTCCAACTGTCTCGCCAGGCTCCCACATTCCCGTGTCTTCTCCTCCAGCCGCAGCTGGGACTGGTGGATTGCCTCCTCCCTCTTGGCAATCACCTGTAGGAACTCGATATTCTGGGCACTGGTCGCCTCCAGTTTCCTAGGTGAAAGCACTCAGTCAGGTCCTGCTCATGCCCTACCTGTCCTGTTCCACCCCGCCAGGGGGCTGCCAGCCACCCCTGGACCGAGGCTCTCATCTTGCCAAGAATCTCCAAGGAGCCACAGGAATGAACCAAAGAAATCTGCTGATCAGCAAGGCGGCAAGGAAGTGCAGCTGGTTGGAGAACTGTACGAAGAGTGGGAAAGCAAGCAGAGACCGACCGTGGGCTGTGCTGTGTGCACATCATCATACGGCACCTTGCAGCTCGGGAAGGTGGGTTCCATCATCATCCCCACTTTACAGGGGAAGAAACTGAGCCTCAGAGAGGTGAACTCATTGGCCCAAAGTCAGCACAGCTGGCAGGTCTGTCACCAAAACCTGTGTCCTCAACTTCTGGTCACTGCTGCCTCCCTCAGCAAGGAGACTTCAGCTGGACTACTCATCTTATGTGACCAGCCATGGGGCAGCAGTGACCATCCCCATGTGCATACACCGTCCCACTGCACTTCAGAATACCTTCCAATCTAAGGAACTCTGCAAGTCCTGCTGAATCCAGCTGCATCTTTGAGGCCAGCAGAGCAGAGGTGGAGCCCAGTAGACCACCTGGTTCAAGTCCCTGGCTGCATGAGCCAC